GGGGGGAGGGGGGAGGGGAGGGGGTGGTGGGGATGGCTCAGGCCACAGTACAGAAAAGGGCTGGATTTTGTCCTAAAAGCTCTGGGGTCGGCCAGGCAGAGTCCAGAGCCAGTCATCCTTGTCAGAACTGACACATACATTGCAGAGTTAACACACGGCCCTCCCCATGGGACTGGAGGCAGGGAAGATATCCTGGGTGCCCTGCCACAAAGCCAGCCTCTATCCCTTTTGGTCAGCTGGATTCTGACTCCCTGTGCAGGTATAGGGTGGATGTGGGTGGCACTTGGGTGGCGGGGAGGGGGTCCCTGCTGATCACAGCCAACCTACTCCTGGACTAGGAATCTCTAGTTCTGTCCAGATATTTGGAAGATCCCTGCCAGACCTAAGGCAGGGCAGCCCACCCCAACGTCTGGGACAGGTGGTGTGTGGGGCAGGCTCTCAGAGCCCCCAGCGACCCCCTGGTGTTCTTGTCCTAGTGCATCCCTTTTTTATTTTATTTTATTTTTTTGCCACTCTGCATGGCTTGTGGAACCTTAGTTCCCCAACCAGGGATCAAACCTGGGCCTTCGGCAGTGGGAACGTGGAGTTTTAACCACCGGACCGCCAGGGAATCATCCCCTCTCCTTGAGCATGGCTGAACTCACTTGTAGTGAAAACAGTGTGGCACACGTGACAGGATGTCACTTCTGAGGTTGGATTATTAAGACCGTGGCTTCTGATGCGGGCTCTGCCTCTCGCTCTCTCAGATTGCTCACCCTGGGGGTAGCCGGTTGCCGTGTTCGAAGGCAACCCTGTAAAGAGGGACCGAGGCCTGCGAACAACCACCCAAGGGAGCTTGGAAGTGGACCCCCACACACACCCAGCTGAGCCCTCAGATGAGATCACAGCCCCAGCCGACAGCTTGACAGCAACCTCGTGAGAAAGTGTGAGTCCGAGGTCCCAGTACCTGGGTTCCTGACCCACAGACACTTCGAGACCATGAACGGTGTTGTTTTAAGCCCCTAAATTTGGGGGTAATTTGTTATGCAACAAAAGATAGCAGGTGAGTAGGGACTGGATTGGGCATGACAGGGGCAGAAGCCAGATGTCCAAAGAGTAATGTCCGAGGAGTCTGGGGCCAATGCTGGAGAATGCAGCTCTGGGCCTGCTCCTCAGAGAGCAAAGGGCCTGCTCCTCAGAGAGCAAAGACCCTGCTCTCCCCATGCTGGGCTTGGTTGCCAGGGGGACAGAGATCCCTAACCCGGCTTCTGAGCTACTCTGCCCTCCTCCTAGTGCACGTGGGATGGTGTCACCCTATCAGGATTTTTGCAAACAAGAATAACAATCAGTCATGATTAGCAGAAGGAAGAGCAGAATGTGCCCACGTGTGGCCCTGGCCCTTTCAGTCTGGACAGCCCCTGCATGGAGCTGGTGACCGCTGGCCTTGACCTCCCTCCTCCCAGACTGACCTGGCCCAGATGCCCAGATGCCCAGATGCTGGCGAGGGGCGCCAGGATCTCACCCTGCCCAGAAGCCCTCTGACAAGTACCCACAGCCTGGGGTGACTATGTGGCTGTGGCCCATCCCATGCTCTCCTCAGGGTCGGGATGATTGGTGGCCAGCTGTCCCCACAGCAGAGCCGCTTCGGGTGGTCAGGACCACGGACAGCGTCGGCGACTTGCCTTCCTCACGCGACGGCTGCTGCTGTGCATCTGGAGCTCCGAAGCGCACAGAAGCGGGGGACTGGCCCCTGGGTCAGGCCCTGGCAGGAGAGGGGCGAGGTTCAGGTAACACCTGAGCTGTGCTGCAGGGTTTTCTGCCTTGTATTTTGGCCGACGCCATCAGAATCCCTCCAAGCCGTCCAAGATTGTGGGTGTGGCTGTGACCCGACCACGCTGCCTCACGGAGAGGACCAGCCTAGGGTTGACATTCACACAGCGAACACTTCCTGAAGTGCTGCTGAACTCGGGGAGAGAGAAAGCCTCTGGGCCCCCAGGACCCCCAGAATAGTGGGGAGAAGCCAACAGGCTGAGTGCTGGGCGCTAAATGGTGGCCCCAGAAAAGGTGTCCACATCCTAACCCCCAGAATCTGTGAAGGTGACCCTGTTCGGAGAAGGGGTCTTTGAGGGTGGGACTAAGTTAGGGATCTCGAGATGAGGCCGTCCTGGATTTGGAAGGCAGGGCCCACCTCCAATGTCTGGTGTCCTTATAAGATAGAGGAGAGGGGACAGACACAGAGGCCACGTGATGGAGGCAGAGACCGCAGGGATGAGGCCACAGCCAGGGACACGTGAAGCCCGCAGAAGCTGGAAGGGGCAGGAAGGGTCCTCCCGTGGAACCTCTTGGTTGTTTTAAGCCACAAGTGAGTGATTTGTTGCAGCAGCTGCAGGAAAGCAGTACAGAGTGCGATAGGCGCTGTGAGAGAAGGTGCCCCTCCCCCAGCCCCGGCTGGCCATCCTGAGCTCCGAGGCCCCGGGGACGCCTCCTGGGCTGGGCAGACAGCAGGGCGCTCCTCTCCCACTCACACTCAGACCGTCCGGGAGGCGCAGGCAGCTGCCCCCCACCCCGGGATCCAACCAGACCAGTGCAAGGAATGGTGAGCCGCTTGGCCTCATCCTCACACAAAAACACCCCAAGTCACAGGGAGTTGACCCCATGTGGACACTCCTGGGTGTCCCTGCCCTGGGTGCCCCTTAGGGGATCTGTTCTCATACATGCACTCAGGAGGTTTCATCCCAGGGACCCCAGACCCCAGGCCCTGTGGCCAATACGACCAAACGTCAGACTCAGATGAACCACAAATAGAGATATATAACACCTGATGAGCGCCACAACCCCCAATAGATGAGGCAGACGCTACAGGACGGACAGGACTGACCCTAAGGGACAAACAAAAACAGAAACAACACTGTCCTGATTGCTGTGACCCTGATTGATTAAATCATTGGCCATTGACAATTGATTCAACCTCCAGCCCCTCTCCCCTCCCCAGACATCTGGGGGTGGGACTGAAAGTTGGAACCCTCTAACCACAAAGTTGGTTCTCCTGGCAACCAGCCCCCTCCTTAGGTAACCGAGGGGCTTTCCAAAAGTCACCTCATTAATATGACAAGAAACACCTTTAAGACTCTGGTCACTTAGGAAATTCCAAGAGTTTGGGGAGATTTGTGCCAGGACCAGGTGAAGACCAATATGTTTCCTGTTATCAATCACAATATCACAAGGCTCTACTGTTGTGAAAATTTGGAAATTTTTATAGTAAGACGTTTTCATTTTCCATAATGTGCACGTGGCGGGGGGCTGGACCCTGTCCCCATATGGCTCAGTGACTGCATAAGAATGATTTTTTAAATTCCCCAAATTTGTGCCACTAACTAGATTTGTCTTCCTTTAAGTTAGTCCAGATCTAGGAGTCCCAGAAGGGGATACTGGGACCAGTCACAGGGGGAAATGGGAGTTTGGGGATAGAAGGAC